AATGTATCTCAATATATTTAATCTTTTTGTGGAGGTAGATTTTAGTGTTGAAACATGCAACTCCCAGTTCAACCTTCGGTCATACCTAGAAAAACGATTTTTAGATGGAGTTCAGGAGAGGAGGGAGTGTTTCTCTTCCTACTGAAATGGAGGCATTTAGTTCTTTCGGCGGAAAATTGAAGACCAGTGGATAGGGACCAGTTATTGAATCTATTTATTGCATCCTGTAGTTTATATTTTATTGTGGCAATGTTTTCAGAACGAGAGATAATGGCTAAATCGTCTGCAAATATTAACGGTTTAACACTTCTTGGCAGGTTGAGCCCCAAATTGTTTATTGCTAAGTAGAATAGAGTTGGATTAATGACACAGCCCTGAGGGTCTCCGCTGATCTTTTCATGTTGTTCGGCTAGTTCATAACCTATTCTAACCCTCAAGTTTCGATTTGAGAGAAACTGGCTGATATAACGGAACATTAGTCCTCTGATTCCTACGGATGATAGCTTACTTAGGATTATAATGTGATTTATGCAATCGAAAGCCTTCTTCAAAAATACCGCAATTAGTTGTTGGGAGTTGATAAAGGCATACTGGGTTTCGACCTTGCGAAATCCCGACTAAAATGGCTGAAGTAAGTTATTTCTCTATATAATCCACATTAGTATTGACCATAAATTCCATTACTTTGCTTAGACAACTTGTGAGAAATATTGGACGATAACTGTTTGAGAACCATTTGTCGTTTCCGTTTTTCAGAATAGGGATTATCATTGGATCGCGTCAATTACTTGGGAAATGTCCAGTAAACGAAATATGATTGTAATAGTCCAGCATCCATTTCAAAATGTAGGTAGGTTTTTAGGCATGTCATAATGAATGATGTCAAGACCGAGTGTTTTCCCTTTAACGGTATTAAGGGTGGCTTTTAATTCCCACATTGAAAATGGTTGTTTATAAAATGGGGTCTCATCATTTATTATATTGCTAAATTCCATTTCATTAGGGGAGAGGAGAGGGGGGTTCGATACTATTTATTCCACAGTTGTAAATTTCGTTCAACAAATCGACAAAAATGTTTGAAACCAACAATGGATGGCTTGATAATTGACGTTTGGCTAAAATGATATAACGGGAAGGAGAGAGACTGTTTGTAAGTTTATGAACTTTGTTCGATACGTCGGCTAATGTTACTGATGCATTTATAGAGCTTACGAACTTTTTCCATGACTCGGATTTACACTGATTGAATAATTTTCTGCACATAGCTCACTGTTTTATATTTTCTATTAGATTTCCAGACCTAATGGATTTCTGAACTTTTGTATAGGCTCGACTTCGATCCTATATTGCTTTTTTACAAACACCATTGAACCAAGAAACAAGCGGTCTTCTTCATAATCCTGAGGTCATTGGTATCGATGACTTAGATGCTTGTATAATCGTATCAGTAATGATTTTACAAGCTGTTTCAATATCCATTTCAGATGGAGCGGATTGGGGTGGCATAGCCAACGAAGTAAAAAGAGACCAATTAGCTCTTTTGAGTATCCATGTCGGTCCAGCGCGGGTGGAATTTTTATTTCTAAATTTGATAAGAAGTGGGAAGTGATTACTGCCGTGTAAATCAGGTAAAACTGTAAAATCAATACCATTATATAAAGCAGAATTGCAGAGAAAAATATCAAGTGATGAGCAGCTACCATAACTGGAATTGAGGATGACATGATGAGGTATGTTCTTCGTTATCGAATAGGACGAGACTAGACAAATCTATAAAGTTTTCTATTATTCATTCTCGCATGTTAGTATCCTGGGATCCACATGAAGGATTATGTCTGTTTAGGTCCCCAACAAAAAGGACAGGATGAGGCAGTTGGTTATAAATGTTTAAGAGGTGTTGTGTATCTATTGTACGATCTTTTGGCAGATATATATTGCAAATTGAAAATGTGAAATCTCGGCGGACTCGAATTGCAACGGTTTGAAGGTGGGAGTTGATTGTAATTGGTTCTGAATATAGATTTGTGTGCTATTAAGACTCTGTGGTGACTATGATTTGGATTATGGCTATCTTTTCCGTAAATTTCGAAATTTTTTATTGTAAAATTTTCTTTTGTTGCAAGATGTGTCTCTTGAAGGGTCAGGCGAAATGGGCCTATGTTATGTATTATTATTTTGAAATCGCAAAAAGGGTCTTTAAACCATTACAATAACGACATATTGTAATATTTAGTTGATAGAAGGAAAAGTAGATTTAATAAAAATTAACCAAATACATAACAGGCAATAAAAATATCTGAAATAAAGTAATAACTTATGTCTTACTATGGGTATGTTTTTTTGATCTGCCTCTTTTTTTTTACGCTGAATTTGGAAGCTCTCATCATCTATTTCTTTATTGACGAACAGACTAACCGGAGGGGGGTCAGGAGTAAGCGGTGAGGGAGTGGAAGATGAGGAAGAAGGATGAAGTGGCGGGAGGGAAGTAGGGGAACCAAGTTATCCGGAAAGCCTGAGCTAGACGTAATAATAAGTCTGCTGTTTAGACAACTTTCCAAACTTTAATTAAAGCAAGGCAAATAACTCTTATGAGTTCTTGATAGGCAACATTCAAATTATTGGCAACATTCTACTTATTTACGCATTGGACTGTATTTTAATGGATTGGTAGATTATACGAATTGAGCAAAACAGCTTATCATTTTTATGATGGTAAAGACATCTCTTTTACCTGAGGGCGCCCTCGGAGCAGCTGTTGTCTCTGGCTATCTGTGCTAGAATGCGGCAGTCGTACCGAGGGCTGGTACTGATTAAATTTTATCTTTTAGATCTTCTGATCTGCCCCCACCACTCGCCGCAACGAGAGAATTAGGAACTATCTTTGCACAGACACCTGCTATAGGCTTGATGTGATAAACACAAAGTGGTTTGAACACCACTAGAACGAATTTTGTTCTGTTTGGGAGTATTTTGGTTTATTACAGCTGTGCTGTGTTTATTAATCTCTGTTTTTTCAAGATTTTCTGAAAAATAATATCAACATTAGCTTGAATAACAACGTCTTTTTTTTTTTCAATTGTATTATTTTTGTTTTTAGTTATTTATGCGAATGTTTTATTAAACTGAGCAGGATTCTTTTCTCTATATATATTGTTTTTGTCTTATGTAAACGATTTTTATTACTAATTGGTATAGGTTTTATTTCTTTTTGAATTTTGAAAAACAATTCATTGTTTATCAAGCGCGTTGTGATTATTTTTGAAGTTCACTCAGTGGAATCTTAGTGCGCATCTTGCATTTTCTCCGTGTCTAGTCTGGCCAGATTGCGCACTCACGGATTCCTTTCTACAGTTAATCGTTAAGGGTGAAAATCCCAAGCAGTTCCAGCACCTGAGAGGGCCGGTATAAGGTTGAACCAACTAATTTTCCAAACCAACGCCGCGCAGTGCGCTGGTCAAGGTCACCTTCATATTTAATAATTTCACGAGTTTCTTCAGTGGCTGTGAATTTTTTTCCAGTAATGGCTTAAAATTACGAGAATTTCGTAGGACACAGTCATGTTTCTTTTTTGAAACAAATAACTAAACTGAGACCTTTTTTGAGAATGTTGAATGGGATTAAACAAGCTTAGAAAATGCTTTAAAGGGATTATTAAGTATTAAAATATTTACAGTCCTTTGAAATCTTGAATTTGATAAAACAGTAATTTTTTTATTCACTCTATTATTTGGTAAATCATTGGTGCTATAATAAATAACTCACAAAATCATGAAGTACATGGGCAGCATAGGTGAAGAAATGTTCCTCAAACTCTGAAATTGCGCAAGAAAATGATATTGGAAAGATTTTCTCTTCATTAATTTTGAAAAGGGCTTTGATAGAATTCAAAAATAAGCTAAATAACTAACCCTACTTGAAAGGCAAGTAGGGTTTAAATATTGGCACACTCCTAACTATGAGAAGCTCCTGTCGCCCAGGTCCGTAGAGAGGAACGAAGGGCCTTAGGGATAATTTTTCCAGGCCCAATATTAAATTTACCATTACCATCATAAAAAAATAAGAACTTTTAATATTGAACGCACTATTCTCTTCGACGAAGAAAGATGGAACGGGCGAAGCTGTAAGTTCTTCTAGGTAACCGGAACTGATTGTTAGTATTTGGTCTAACAATGAGGGAAAACGCGAAATCGAACCCTAAAATTGGAAAAAATACATTAAGCGAACGAGAACGGATGCGCCGAAATCTCGGAAAAGAAATCAAGGATTAATAGTCTGGCCCACAGACTATGTCGCTTCATAAATACTTTCCTAACTTTATAGCATTCTAATGACATGAGTAATGGCTGTTTCGTCCTGGCATTTATATTGATAAGTCGTCCCCCTAGGAAAAAACAAGATTGGTGAAAAGTCATTAAGTTGTAATATTGTGATTAATTCATAATTAAATATTAATTATTAAGATTAAAAATATTTTCCTATGTAATTAGCATCAAATGTGTCAATTGTCCTTAGCGTGATGTTCTTCTACTATTTGGAAGCGCTGAGTTACAAGTATTACGCTCACAGAACGCGTCATTGACGCCTGCAACCTCGACCAGCGGCGGATTGGCGATCCCGTTGTAATATTATATAATCCATTTTTACAGTCAGAACGAAGGTGATCCACACAGAGAGATCACAAATAGATAGATCCTGCTCTGTGTGCTTGAGCATTATAGCTTTCATCAATGTCCATTTCATCTAGCAACGGAATTTACCATCTACTTGTCGGATCTGATGGGTTATATCAATTATCTATCGAAGGCTTTGGCAACTTCTAAAAATATCCTTCCATCGCCAAGAGTGATCCACGGATAAGTTTTCTTTGAAATCCTTGATTCGGACTCTTCGATTTCTAATCATGTATTCCCGTTGAGGAGGCTTCTTGTTGACATTCTCGTGTTACGTTTCTGGGGAATTATGACCCGTTTGGGAGATGGACCTCAGTGTCCAGGATAGTTATTTGGACCAAGGGGCCAAGGATGCAGGGCTGCCATCCCCCGTAATCTCCTCACTAAATATACCTGCACAAGGTGGGGGAGTGCACCGCCCAGTCACAGCCCGCCACCAGCCATGGTAAGTAGTCTAGTCTCGGATATTTTCATTTTACTTTTTCTAAATAATTAAAAAAATGAGAGAAAAAAAATCCTTTTCATATTTTGAAAAATATGAAAGAAAAAAATTATAAAAAAAAAAATTCATTTTCCTTTCAGTAGAACATTTTTCAACACATACTTTACACATCCTCAAATCATCATAATTTTTACAGTGTTTTTCAAAGATTTTTTATTAAAATATTGTAGATACAATTTACTGTTCAGTTCTTGAATAATTACTACAACCAAAAATCCAAAAAAAAAAAATCAGAAACGTTTGTGAGTAGTTTGCGAGAAAAAAAAAAAATCATATTTTTTAATATTTTAAACCTGTATTGTAGGATTTTGATTTTGGTTCATATTCATAAGTAATAAGGAAAATACAAAAAAATCAAACCTGGAATGTTTTTCTTTTTTTTTTTTAATTTGTTGAATATTGTTTGAGAGGTGATTCATGGTATTAGAAACTTCTTTTACGTAATAAAATTTACCAATTTTCATTTTCATTGAATGTATATATACACACACACACACAATATTATACATGTGAGTGACTAATACAATGTTAAAGAGCTTGTTACTAAGCTATTTATTAATTTATAGTAAGTTCTCATGAAAATTAAAGAAATATTCAAGGATTAAAACGAAAAAAATGGTGAATAGAATTTTTCTATATATCGATATGGCAATTTTGCTTATTTACAAATATTTTGTTTTCGTTTTAAGCCCAATCATATTTTATTGAAATTGGCTTAACTTAACTTTACGGTACAGAATTCTTTGTACTGCAAAGATAGTTACGAGGAGTAGAAATTGATGAAAAATTATATATCATGAATCGATATTCTAGTATCGATATCAATAAACAGTAATACAAATTATTTTTAAAAAAATATTAAGTTTACATATACAGAAAAATCATATCCTTAAAACTACCTTTCATTAGTCTAGATAACCATCTAAGATCAGAAATTTCAAGAAAAATCTCTTTTTTTTTCTGATCCGTTGTATAGCAAATTTTATATTAATAGTAGGATTTTTTTTTTAAATTTTGTAAATAAAAGCTTTTATTTTCGTATATGGAAAAATTTGTTGTCTAGGTATTGCTAAAAAATATTTCTTCGGCTTTTACAAAAAGTCACTGAGTACACTTTATATGTAGCTAAATTTTTAAGTATGTTTTCATGAATTTCAACTTTATATATCAACGTAATAACACAAAGTGCATCAGAATGAAACAAATATATATCAAAAATAGTTACCCTTACAATAATTTGTTAGTGAATTGATATCACAGTGAAGAAATTCCTTATTATTAGGAAAGTTCTTACTTATTTTTGTGATATGTTACTTAACGACTTTTTGCAATGAATTAACGATATGTAGTAATTGATGTATTGAAAATTTCAAGATTTGAAGAATATTTTTGAAGTTTAGTCAAAATATTTTTCACATTAATTTAGAAGTTGAGTGAAATGACATAGACAATGTCCCAAAGACATTTGCATTGTTCTAAGTTGTAGTCTTGTTTTTTTTCTTTTTCTTTTTAATGTTAAGATATTATGGCAAAGACGCCCTCGTTATTAGAAATGAGATCTCATCAGCGATCCATCAATCCTTCTGGGTTTGTTGAAGGGGCGGAACAGTTGGCACCTAGCATTGACGTTTATTCATATTGTTCTATTTCGGAACGTCTCTTTTCAAAAAATTCTTCTTTCACAATAGCCAGTCTATTTTTTTTTTTTTTTTTTTTTTGAGTGCTGTAACGGGGTGTACTGATTTAGAATCTGAAAAAAAATACTTACGTTATTTATATATATATATATGCGTTTGTGTGTGTGTGTATGTATGTATATACTAGGGTTGTACCCCCTGTCCGCATAACGTCGGGCTAGCCCCCATTTTACAGATTATACAACTATTTAATTTTGCTACTCGTTGCTCAAATGATATAACTTTAATTTACATGTATTTTGTAGTTCAGTTATATAATTTTTTTATCAACATAAAATAAAACTGAACGCGAAACCACAGTTCGGTCAAAGTTTTAATTTATTTAAAAATCTATTTCATACATCGCGCCTTATTGCTTTAGTAGCTATAACATATCAACTTGTCCGACTTCATATAAGCTCAACAATAATTCAATCCTTTTATTTCTAATATTTTCATTGTTCATAAAATTATGCTTCCTTTTCTATATCATAATAATTATAATTATAGCACAATATAATGTAAAGAATATTATATATAATGTAATAATTAACATATTACACAAGGGGGAATGTCTTGATAGAAAAATAACTGTTTTCACGTGGATAAAATCAAACTACCACCTCTAGTTGAATAAATGCCATTTCCCGTTCAAATTTGAGTCTAAAATCTTTTTTTCGTATTAGGAGAGTATTAGGTAACAGGAGCTCAACATATATGTAATTAAATGAACACACAGAAGAGTTTCCGTATACTCTCCTAATACTAAAATAAAATATAATATGACATATACTAAAACTTTTTAATATAATAGAGAGAGATTATTGAATGTTCTTTTTGGGATCTTGGACGGAACCATGAGAACCATCTGAAATGAAATTAACAATATTAGTTTAATGTAAAACTGCTTAACAACGGATTTTTTCGATTAATTTTTTTTTTCAAAGGAAAAATTACAATTACTCTTTCAGGTTTATAATGATTTTTTTCTACTTTGATTATTAAATTATTTTAAAATTGTTTTTAAATATTTTAGCATGCACTTTGAAAACTATTTTTCACCTTATTTGTTAAACGATAAGACTTAAATAGCAATTTAATAAAATAAAAACGGTGACAGTTTTAAAAATAAATATAATAAGAAATTAAACGACATATTCTAAACAGGAAAAAAAGTGACTGATCCTTAAATTCTTTTTAAATTTAGGAATAATAAAATATTTAGTAACTAAATATTTAAAAAAATTGTAAACTTTAAAGTTTTTAATTGTAGTGGTGTGGTTGAGATATCTAAAGTATACTTTTCCGATACTAATTCAATATACATGCTCAATTTCAATTGTCTGATTCGATTTGGATGGGTTGTAAGATACGCACAAAATTTTAAATACCGTATTAAATGAGTTGACTGAATTTACCGCAAATGCTGACCGAATTCACTCAAACTTAGTGGTGATATTATACCTATATATAAAGAAGATAAAATATATATATATACATAGATTCATACATTGCTATCTTCTTTCTCAACTGTTAATGAAATGTATTTTCCGAGAAGATTGACAATATTGACTGAACATTAAGCTCTTCTGAAAATATAAGTATTACAGACTTCATAATCCTTTTCTAGGGGTTCTGAAACAGATAACCCATAATCGTAAGATAACTCTCTTAGAGTTTATTGTTTCCCGGAATAATAAGTACTAAACATAAATAATAAAATATACTCTCTGTTGGAAGTAAGTAATATTGTTAACTGATTGAAATTTATACGATAGGTAGCCAACAAAAAATAAAATAAATAAATAAAACTAAAATAAACCTGAGTATGTTCACCTATTACTTATTCACTTACAAATTAGTAAATTAGTTATTATATTAATTGTAGAAGAATTAAACATCTTGTTTTATTCTTAACCAGCGACCTCAAAGACTATTTAATATAAATAGACTGTCTAAAATAAATAGTAAAACATTTGGTTTACAATAACGACTCATTCACTAAACATTATTGCTTAAGCTGTAATGGCTGGGAGTGTTATTGTCTATATCTTAATGTCATAATCTTAGCAGCCTCGATTCTAGAGGCGCGGCTGTTCGAATCCGGCCTAGACGAGTTGAAATTCATTTTGTGGTAAACCCACTAAATGAATCTTGACCTTTCCACTACGGTTAGAAGAGTTTAAGTATACCAGTAGAAAAATCTCTCTTATAAAAAAAAATACAAAACCAGTAATTATTAATTGTATACAATATAAAAATCTTATTCACACAATAAACATTTTTTTTCAGGATGAAGACGACCAGAAAATGATGAGTAAGTAATTTTTTTTATATTTATTATATTTAGGTGAAGTACTTAGTAATTGAAAAAAAAATGAGACTGAAGCGAGATTCACCAATAATTTTATTATTGGTAACCAATAATTTTCCAACAATATATCTACACGCAAATTTAGCATATAATTTTAAAGCTAGTGTGAACTATGTTCATTAATTAATGACATTATCTAATATGTAAAACATAATACATTAAATTTTAAATTCCATCTTAAAATTTTATTTATATTTTCAATTCAGTTTTCAAGTCTGTAGTCCTTATTGCAATATATGTATATATATAATATAGACCAGTGTAACCCTTTAATTAAATTAATCACGTTTGTTTAACTAAAAACAAAAAACACCATGTTCAACTTTAATTTTTCAAATATGAATTAATTTACAGTTTATTGATAAATATATTTGACACTATTAAATAATTAAGTTATTTCCTAAAATTTTGAAGATAATGTTGTGATAACGATAACAGACGTTTGAACGTATGAATAAATAATGATAAAAATACAGGGAAAAAAATCATGCCAATAGGCCATAGAGGACATTGTTATTTTTAAAAAAATGTATAGAAATATGAATCTTCATATTGAAATCAAGATTGCGATAACCCTTATGAAAACTTAAATTAAATTATAGAGAAGATAAAATGAGAGATTAATCTATATCCACAAAATTAATTTTAATAACTAATGTTGATATCTTATGGCCGGTCGAACCAACTGTTAACATCAATTTTACTAAATTTGATCAGTTAATCACCGATTGACGATATTTTCGTTGCGCCAATCTTGATTAGCATTAACATCTGGTCAAATAATTAAGGTTAGCTAATCGGTCTTGCGAACATGGTTAAATCTTTGATAAATATTAAAGTGTTACTTTATCTATGGTTACCTTAACTAGAACCAAATCGTTCGATTTCAATTTTATAAAAAGAATTTTTTTTACAGTTGATTTAAATTTATTGTTGCCGATAGTGGTGTTTTTTTTTTCGCAAGTAATTTAGAAAATAATTGATATATCGTCTGAAGGAAATTCGTCATCAGATGCTCTATTTATAATATTTTGCCAATTCAATTACTTAAAAGAAATAATATTGGATAAGGAATTATCTTTTCGATGTTTACGATGAATCCGAATTTAAATTGGGATATTTATTAAATAATCAGTTCTCGATATGATAGGTATTGATAATTTGGCATTCAAAGTAAACAGAAATACTTCTATAATACTTTTAAGTCATTAACTGATAACTTTGTTGAATTAGGCTACTGGGAGTTTCCAAATAATTTATAGAAAGAAGTCACTAATAAAGTGACGTCATACCTTAGCCTTACTTAACTAACCCGGTTTAAAAATATATTGGAGCAACAGAGATTAAACTTTAACTGTTGTTATGTTTTAAATAATGTTACTTAACAGAGGATGTTAACTTTGATGACAAATGTTGGTGAAACGGTCCATTAGTGATTAATATGTTTGTCTTGCCTGATATTTTAACATGCTAATATGGCTTTATGCCCATTGGTAATTACTATTTTTGTTGCAGTGCTTCGGAAAGCATTCCAAATGTTTGATACAACGAAGAGCGGCTTCATCGACACCCTCAAAATTTCAACAATCCTTAATACGATGGGTCAGCTGTTTGATGACGAAGAACTCAACGCTCTTATAGAAGAAACAGACGCTGATTGTAAGTTAACTCAACTTCATTTGTTATTTATTTGTTACGTCCTGTCCTCTTAGTAATTTATGAGGTTTACCCCAAGGAAATATGATTTTTAAGAGATAAAATATCATGCATGTTTAGCCTCATTAATTTTGTTCTGCCAACAAACTTCTCTGTCGTTACACGTTCGGAACTTTCCGTTTCTAACTTGTCCTAAACATTTTAATAGGACTAAGGTCTGACCAACGAGCTGGTCACTCGACGAGTTGAATATCATATTTTGAAATTTGTCTGTCCATAACATTCGGAATGTCTAGTTCTGTACATAAAAATAAGTATATGAGGTTGGTAGAATTTTCAGGATTACAGGAATTTTATGTAGTGGTGATGCACGGAGCTACGAATTAGATATAAATTTTTAATTTTCATTAGATGCGCAACTGCATAAGCACAATCTACCGATCGTCTTTAGGAGTCTCCAATATAATATATTTTAATTTTTTTTTTTAAGTATTCATAGTAAACCTTTTGGGTTCTTAATGCCGTAACTGATAACTTCAATACAAATTTTTATGCTAACAAAACAACACAACATACTGCTAAACCACATATTTGATCACTATAGTCCTACTGTATTTGTATTTTTACATCAACGTTTCAGCCCTTAGGCCATTATCTAGGGAAGAAACCTCTAACAAATACAACAATCATCACAGCCTAATTATATTTGCTAAATAATTATTTTCATTTAATACTCTATGTTACTACCTATTTTAATAATTAAAAATAATTAAAGACTGAATTGCCCTTGTCAACTCCATATAACTGGTCAAACGCTAAAATCTCCCTCTACAAGGTTATGTTTATTTGAAAACCTCATTATATTGTCACAATACCAAAATTAAAATTTACATATTAAAACCATCTGTATGTATTGCTAAACTAGTTATTAAATATTACATTAAAATTAAATACACTCACAGGCTGATTATTAATTCACTTTTTTTTTTTGAAAGCTATAATTTTTATTTTTGACACAAATCCTCAATGCTCCGTACTTTGTCACTAATAAAATCATCCATAACGACCTTAATGAACCATATGTTTCCGATTTAGCTCAATCCAGATACCTAACCTTCCATAATAAACTTCTATACCATCCGAACCCTCTTGTTTCCAACATTCCTGATAACCCTCTGAGGCGTCGGAAAAGAAGATGGCCTCGGGACCTTCTAATATAGAAATATAATTGGAGTGCTACCAATGGGTAGTTTTTCTTCATGTTATACATGTCATGTTACTTGTTTCATATTTACTTGTATTCATCATTAATTACAGTTGTAAATTTCAATAATAATAAAAAAAAAATTAAGAAATTATTTTCGACATTCAATTTTACAGCTCAATACACCATTTTTATATTTAAAATAATTTATTCTAAAATATATCTAAACAGGTATATAACTCATTATTTTTGCATTTCTATACATTTATAAATTAATTTTGCTTATTATTACATCATAATTATGTTCTAACTGCCTTGAATCTGTTTTTAAATGGCCTAAGGGCTGAAATGTTGATGTAAACAAACCAATAAAGTAGGACTATAGTGATCAAATATGTGGTTTTATTATTACTATTAAGGTGAAGTCCTAATCTACAAATTTGAATACATAGAAATAATTAAATTTAAAAGTAACATTTATATTTATCATGGTTTTTTCAAACATTTAAAAATGTGAAATAAAAATTTTAAGAAACTAACTTAGATATTTTGGAATTTATTATTATTTTTTATATGTACTATATAGTATTTATTTTTAATTCGATAATTAATATATTTTATAAAATATTAAGTTATAAAACATCACTATAAATTATTATTTTTTTGATAATAATTACCTTGCAAATCTTCATCGAAATAAACTTTTTGAAATTATCAAGATTCATATTATTTATTACTCTCTATGATTCCCGTATTAATCCATTAACTTCCAGAAGAGGCTAAACTAATAAATCTTTAAAGTAAAAAAAAGGAAAAAAAAAACTGTTGTAGGCAGAATATAGACAGATGCCTCCGAATTGGTTAAGGAAAAAAAAGCTATCACTTCTCATTGATCGAGATGGAACGGAGCTGTAGCAACAAGAGGTCTGAAAGGTCTCTAAAGCCTACAAAAAATAATTAAACAAAGTGAATCAAGATAAAAAAAAGATTTAATAACAAGATACAAATACACACCCTCGACTTAACACCCACATTTTGCCACCCTTTATTTAGGCAAGGCAGAATAAACTCACGTCTGTCTCAAAATACACCCACAGGTAAAATATAAATATGCCGAGAAACATCCAAGTTTGTACGCCAAGGTTAAATTAAATATAGGAACCTATTAGAAAAGGAACGCGGAAAAACAATTTAGATCTTAATTCAATTCAACCATGTGATATTATTAGAGATTAGGAAATTTCTTTGAGCTTGTTATATCTGCATTGGGCTTCTCAATTGTTTAACAATTAATGCATTCACGCCTGTTTGTGATTATAGTAAATATATGCCAAAATAAATATTTATCAACTTTGTTATACATTATGTTTTATATTTGCTTATTTTGAAATTAGAAGGTTCTATACAAACATAAATGTCTACCAGTGGAGTTGTTAATTGACAATTAAAAGCATCTGAATTCTTTAGTTTATTTTTCAGTCCTGATTATTTTAAATTTGTTGATTGTTTTAATACTTAGTCCATAGAAGCGGCCTCGTTCAATCTCCGTTGGTTTTAGTACCAACGACGCGATTGAAAGAGTCGCGCAGTGATCTCCTGGAGGTCTACTTTTTCCACCGTAGATGGAGAGAAAAACCTGGTTTGGGATTCCTTTGACTGTTTTAGATAAATGCAGATTTATGATAGTATATAGGAGGCATACCTGTGTTATTTTTCTTTACATATCTTTTTTTTTAAATTTATTGTGTAATATACTATTGTATACTTTTTGATTATTATATTTTGCTTCTGTTTTATTTTATTTTTTATTAATTTATATTTTCTCTTAATGTGATTTGAATTTAATCTTTCCTCACTATAACTATTGTCCATATTTGGACAGAATAAAAGTAGTTTTGAAAAGAAAATCCAGAAAATTGTTGGAAATTGCATTACAGAAACTATTCCTTTTAAAAAATATTTAAACTAGTCGTTCACTAGATGAGTGCGAAGGAGCTCTGTTGAACATAATCTATCTCACGGTTAATAGTAATTTTTGTTTAGAATCATATTACTTAACTACTTTACGAGCTAGAACAACGTAATATGTTTAACTACTTTGAACGAATATTTTGTAATCAAAAGTTAATTTGATTTTTAAATATTTATTGATATTTACAAGTGTATTAAATAAATACAACGAGTAAATGTAAAGAAATCAAGAATAATGAAAGTCTTGTCGATATATTACCCCTAAACAACTCAAGTAAAGTAAGAAGATCCCGAGGCCGTCCAATATTGGATGAATAGCTGTAATGGAATAAAAAACAACTTATTTAAATAAATATAAAGTCTGATGCGGTGTATTACACATAAAAATAATTGTTAATAAAGTTAATAAACCTTTAGAAATTTCTTAATTATGAATACCAATTTACAACATCAATAGTATAATAATTCTGTGCACTATATGTTGTTAGTTTTGGCAAGATAAAATTAAATTTTAAATTTATTTTTTATTGGAATTTTATTTAGTTTCCATAAAAATATTTATTTCCCATCGAAAAATATTAGGTAGTTTCGTATGAGTATGAGGAATCTTAAACTTTAAACAAAGAGAAGAATAGTTGGGGTGATTAGTCAAAAAAAAAAAAAAAAAAGTGAAAATAAATAAGTATGTTTATTTATTTATGTTTTATTATTATTTAATGTTTATAGTTTCTTATACCTATTGTTATCTGTTTTTTTCTCAGTCCAGATGAAGGCCGAAACTTTGGGCAAAAATAAAAATGAATATACTTATTTATTTTTACTTTTTTTTTTTCTTGACCACCCCAACCATTCTTCTCTTCAATTATTCAGTTCAATCAACCATCAATTCACAATATTAAATTTTAAACTTTTACTAAATTCATTAGAATGACAACTGTTCAACTCTTTTGTCAGAACTATTATTACTAATTTTTCGTTTAAATATATTTTCGTATTATTTTACAATCTGTAAAAAAGTACAATAAATAACTACCAAAAACTAATTTGGAATATTATTAAGCTGATTTCAAGGCATACATTTAAGTGTGAATAGAAATAAAAAAAAAAACAACAACCCAAAATTGAAAAAAAATTAACTAGTTGATAATGAAAACTGTAAAGTTTAAGATAATGTACATTATTGTAATAGTGTGTGGAGCCAGTTGGGATCACAATTCACCAATTAGCCAGAAATCAAAAGAGCCTTCCTAGGAATGCTCGTTGGGGATGGAATTTATCCCAGTACATTTTACCACTCTATACAAACATGAGGACGTTCGACCGTGTTGTGTTTACATTATGAAAATATTTGTATTACTGACTTGTCGTTCTTGTTTAAATTTAATTTAAACACTTGCAGGTATTTCGCTTATCCTCTAAGGAATCCCTGATCAGATCGTAAAGACTTAGAAAAAGAAACAATCCTGTGTTAGTTTTATTTGTATATTTTCGTTATGCCTTGTATCTGGAGACATCTCAGATCGCTTTAATATACAATTATGTTTGCAACGGTACAGAATGTAATTAAGATGTCATCTTGGAATTTTGAAGGTTTTGTAATATATATATATTTTTTAAAATTATGTGGCTGTTAAATGCTCGTTAAAAATTTGTCGATTTGAATTCGTTGGTATTTTATGAATATAAGAAATCTTCTAACACATTGTTTAACATGCATATGTATCATTATTGGAGTTAATAAGTAAACAATAAAAAGTAGAAATCTCGATATTTACAAGTTTTATTTTTAAGATCCATACTGTTTTGAAATCCCCATAGGGTATTGAAT